ATCAAAACAGAGAGAAGAGCTGGTCGTCTCTCGATGGATGATCAAAGACGGTGTTTGTCTACCTCGCTGCATGGCGGGCGAGCTCAGGGCGAGGCACTGAGGGCGAGGTCTGTGAAAACCCCCCAAACCCCCCCTCTCTACATGACTCTGGTCATATCAGATGTGAGACGGATGGAAACACAGCTGCAGATGTTTGTGATACAGGAGAGCTGAGCAGATGTGACGAACAAACACAACCACTTCTGTCAATTATTTCTTCTCTCTCCTGTTCTCCTACAGATGGACTTACACAGTATGTTATCAACAATATGTTATGGATCACTCAGTTCTGGGTCTCAGCTCAAACGTAGCCTTGTTGTCAGACATTTAAAGCCCCTGCAGGGAGACCCCAAACCATTAAAAGCTTCTAACTCTGTTTTTTTATTATCTCATGTTCATCATATCAACTCTCTGAAAGTATCAGAAGTTACGTTCAAACCATTTTTTCAGATCTAAGTTTTGGAACATTGTCAGACGTTGGGTGTGAAGTGGGCGGGGCTAGCTCTGAGATTAAGTACGCAATACATTTCAAACCAATAACAGAGCTCAACAGTAACTGCAACACTTTTTCGGTGAAGTACATTTCTCCGTTTAAATCCTACACGGACATTTCACAAAATCCATATATCAAGAAATTGAAGCCTGTAACCATGACAACCAGCTACCCCATTACTCGTGACTTTAAAACATTTGATCTGGCGCCAAAACAGCGTTTAAAAAAAGTGAGAGAAAGGCAAAGGTACAAGACTGTGTACATCATTTTCTTCCGGAGTCAATGAACTACACATCCCACAATGCATTGTGAATGATATAGTTTCTTCTTAAAAGTAACTTTGGTCGTTGTTATCGTGTTTAAACTGTTAATACACTGCGGCACGACGAGGTTATTAATACATTTACTGTTAGTTAACTAACTAGCTAAACTGCTAGCTAAACATATCTGTTCACATACGACGCTGAGGGCCGAAAACATTGCCGTGGCAACAGCAAGCTCAACCAATCAGAGACGTCGCTGTGACACTCCATGATCGTGGGTAGTGTAGTTCTTTTCCCCGACATCTTAAAGGTTCTTAGAAGTTGATATCAGATGAACTTGTGACTCCTAAAGAAGCATAAACCATCGTTACAAACTCAGATAGCTCGTGTTCAGTCTACCTGTGATGGTTATGACATCATGACTTATAATCAAGTCCTCTATGGAGGAAAGGAACAGGAGTTTTACTTCCAGAACCACCAGCAGAGATACAGAGAAACAGCACCTTCAGAACTCATGTGTCAGCTGGATCATTTCAAACTTATGATTCAATAGAACCAGGTTATCTACGAGCAGTAATATTACTGTATGCTATCACTATGTGTTATTTTACACCAGCTCTGCTGTAGGTGAAGGTTGTAGGATGATCACCTGATCAGAATGATTTTTCATATCTCACTTTTTGTAGCCGTTTGTGTCTGTTAACGGAAGTTCTTGCCAGCCGTTAGTTTCTCTCTCAAATAAAGGCAGAAAAAGCCCCAAAACACATCTTTAAAAAAGTGTTTTTTACTGATCACACAAAGTGAAATCATAATTTCTGCAACAAAATGTAGGATAGTCCAGACATCACACTACAAGTTCAAATGAATCATACATCTATGTGTTTCATCCAAACAACGACACAACCTCAGTCACACCTCACTCGTTTTAACGTTGGGTTTAGTGTGAACTTTGCACCAAAGCTTCGGACAGAACTTAAACAGAACTGCAGCTCTCTACGATAAAGGGAAATGGGCTCACATACTTTGCTTTCGACTCAAACAGGAGAAATGATCAGCAGCCATTTTCAAGTCTTTGAAGTCTTGACTGAGTATCACAGGGTTGAAAAAGCTGCTGTTTAATACCAAATACCTCCTGTGCTTTCACAGAAAACCAAGCAACAACAACACACAAAAACATTGTCCTCCCCCTCATCATCCCTAACCCAACCTCAGGGGAAGAAGTGGCACACTTAGACTCATAAACAGGTGTCCACCGGCCCCCAGTCCGCGGCGCTTTAATAGCTGTTTGATGTTTTTGATGTCTAGTCAGCTCGATCGTACCTTGCTGCTTGATAATGAGGGCCGATAATGATTCCTGAGCTCGAGGGGTTAATGGTATGTAACCGGCAGAGCTGCTAATTACACGTTACAAACTATTTATCAGAATCTCCATCTGCGCAAGCATCCACAACTCTCATTGTGCACGCTAAATTACTCTGCGGATTATCATTGTAAAGCAAGTTTCAGTAATTAGGGAGCCATACTGCTGTTTTCTTTCTCTGAGTGCACCGGATGACACTGAGAGGGGAGGAGAGAGAGAAAGAGAAGGACCTGGTATTCTGAGAGAGCAGGGAAGAAAAAGAGGAACAAATATTCAAGATCTACTTTTTTTTATTGCACCTCAGAAAGGCGTTTCCTGAGGGGGAGTCTACACTCTGAAGTGAGAGACAGGTGTAAATTGCACTGAGAAGCCCACATAGTCTCGGTGAGAGCTGGTGAAGTCTGTTTTTCTGAGTGTTGAGAGGAGCTGTGTGTGAACAGCGTGGTCCAACAGGCCGCACTCTCCTCTCCTGCAATCGGTTATTTGAGAAATAACTGTCACCTCCCCTCGGCCCCCCCAAAGGTGCACCTGAGACCACGGAGACATGTACCATCCTCCTCTCCTCCACCGTAAATTTTTATTAAAATTACCTTCATTATAAGACAGTGTTCATTATAAAAACCAAAAAAACGCCCGGTCTCCCAGGGCCCCGTGGATTAATAAGGACAGCAGTGTATTTTAAGCCGTAAACTCAGCTCCTCACTGTCCTTAATCTCCTTCCTACTTCACAAGGCCAAATTAACACCTCTCCTCAGCTCTGACGGGACCTCATTAGCAAACTTCCAGGGAAAGAAAAGAGGAGAGCAGAGCGAAAAAAGAGGAGAAGAAGGAGGGAAGCGACCAATGACAGCCACCAGCTCTGGGATTAACCCTTTCTCCTCCTCCAAGCTCCTCGGAAAGAAAAAAAAACTAGGTCGGCAACGTGTTTCTAATCAGTCGCCTGGTTAGCGATAATTAGAAGGCGAGATTGGACGGGAAGAAGAGAGAGAGAAAGTGGGTGGGGAACATTGAAATGAAAAAGAAAAGAAAGAGAACCTGTCATGTCGCAAACACTTCAAAGGAGCCGACTTCTCCTTTAGAAGCGGCATGATGAGGGTCCAAATACCAGGAGGCACTCCTCTGGGCCTCTGGATCTGGTGGAAGAGGGTGGAGGGGGGGGACTGGAAGAAAGGACCCAGTTCTTTCACACACACACACACACACACACACACACACACACACACACACACACACACACACACACACACACACACACACACACACACACACACCACACACACACACACACACACACACACACACACACACACACACACACACACACACACACACACACACACACACACACACACACACACACACACACACACACACACACACACACACACACACACACACACACACACACACACACACACACACACACACTTCTATATTTCACCACCTGTACAGTGCAGCTGCAGGGGAGCTTAACTCTCCCCCCAAACCACACAGCCAAACAAGCACATCCAACTCCACCTTCTTCTTCTTCTCGCAGTCTCTCTCTCCACCCGCCCCCCCCCCACCCCACCCCGCACCAGCAGCAGCGTCGAGGTCCCACAGCTTATACGCGGAGGTCGTGAAGACTACCCTGGGTAAAGTTCACAAGCCTCCGCAAGCTGTTTGACATTCCCAATAAGGTCAAAGTTTATCAGAAAACACCAGAGGATTATATTATTATGATGGTGAGCCGAGTCACTGCCTACCACCGCCACATCAAAAAAAATAGCAGCCTTCTTCCAAATGCAGGCTGGCTTACTTCTGGATGTACAGGAATCATAAAGCCTGTGGAAGTTCCACATGAGAGACCGAGAGGAACCCAGAGAGGCCCGCAGCTAACATCGCTCATTATCAGCCATCTATTTTATCTACTATGAAACATCTCCAGACTCCCAGACGGCAGACATCAATGGTTCCCTAAATTAATCCTGTGGGTTCCTGTTTGCACAATAAAAGATGTGGAAGGGTGCTTTTGATATTTGTGCGACTTTACAGCGGAGTAATTGAATTAGCACACAAATCAACCGCAGAGGATTGCCCTGGTTCAGGATTGAAGAACGTGATAGCTCCTGCCAGGGAACACGGCTTCCATGGGCATAGTCAATTATAAAGCATTAAAAAAAGAATCTGCCAATAATCACTTCCAAGAGAACTGAGCAATCCATGCTGAGTGTTCTCATGTTTACCCGATGATGGGGCTCTCAGGTTAGGGCTGAGCGGGACTTTGGAGAGGGGAGAGCGAGACTGAAAACATATTTGTGGTATCATTTCCATAAGGCTGGGCTTTGCGGACCATAACGCGCCTCACAAATGTGATTTATGACCTTGGTTTAATGGCTGGGAGCGGAGTCTTGGTAGGTATCAGATGACTTTTTCAATATGGCGACGTCGGGGGGGGGGGGCACCATCACAACAGGAAATGAGGGCTTGTCTCAGCCAAGAAAATATGAGAAGCCAGATATCTGATCATCTAATGGCAGATGGATGCTACTTCACTTTGACAGAAAAGGCATCAGTCAATAAGCAGCAGATGAGCAGTAAGAGAAAAAGAACGCCATAGATTTCCTCGCCCTATCTATCTAATCACTCATTCTGCAGAAACAGTGATCTGCAGCCGGTCAATGCACTGGAGGAATATCCAGCTCGAGTGTCTCATGTCTCTGCTGGATTTTCATGCGTTTGAGAAAAAGCGTGTAGGAAATCATCAATCAAAAAAGGCTGCAGCTATACGTAGCGTTTTAGCAGGCTTTATGTGATGCAGTCTGCAGAATCTGTGTGCATGCAGCTGGGAAAAAGAAAAGCTCACCTGGGCCTGGAAACTCTTCAGAACAGGTGCCACCATCTCCCGGACTTCCTGTGTGCAGACAACACAAGGAAACTCAGCCTCAGCTATTTCCATTTTGCAGATTCTTTTGCAGACTCCACCTGCTCAGGTAAGACGCCGGACCAGTGGAGGTAAAAGTAGCTCCATGGAAAGAATGGTTAAAAGACTTAGCAAGCTTTTCTACTCTTCTGACTACTCAAGCAGGTCACACATACACATTCACATCCTGATGGTAGAGGCTGCTTTGGAAAGAGTCCATCAGTATAGAGAACAAATCATATCATCATAATCATATTTTTTGTAGGCCAACCAGGAAGTAGCATCTCCATGGGGTCTGTTGAGAATTCTCCTATGGGATTTTTTCATTGGATTTTGGATCATTTCAGAAAATAAGCTCTGTGACAAACACATGTTTCTGAAGCGTAGGCGACAGAAGTAAAAAGCTAACGTTATGCTAAAGCTAGCTACACCACGGTCGGATGATTGTGACGTCACTAGCGTTATGTTTCAGACGATCTCTGATAAACTAATCCACATAGCTTTATAAATAGTTTATTAACATAATATTCACCTTAACCTAAAGATTAAACCTACAGGAGACATCTTCGACTAGTGAGAGAGTTCCCGACCTCTGTGTCCAGGGTGATGATGTTTAATGTCCCTGACAACCACTGTAGTCACATTTAGCCACTTGTTAGCAACCGCCTTTTTAAAGACGTGTAAAAACTTCAAAATTCACAACCTAACGTAGTTAATGTGGTCTAACAAAACACCAACATCTCTTCAGCTTGTGTTAACCACAGACCTTATTTCAGGCGTCTAACCACAAACCCATTCAAAATCCACATTGACTTTTAGACATTAGACTCCATGACGCTACAATACTAACTTACTTCCTGGTTTTAGGACTCACTCCTGTGGCGCCCTATTAACTCATCCATTCATACACCGCCAGCAAAGCAGTGGGAGCAACTTGGGGTTAAATGTCTTGACCAAAGACTCATCATGCATGTGGCTGCAGGAGCTGGGTATCGAACCCCCGACCTCCATGTTGAGAGACGACTGATTCTACCACTGAGCCACAGCCAAAGAGAACTGAAAATGTCAGTATACTAACTGGAGTGGTTTAATTCGCATGGCGGCATAAAGTACAATGTTTGTAACTGTCTCCATAGCAACCCTCACAGTGCCTCTGTGTGTAAGTCAGGTGTTCTGTTTGTGGGTATTAGTGGTTAAACCTGAAGGGTTTGAGTAGGCATGTTTGAAAAGTGGGGCTTTCCAGTAGCTTGCACTAAAAGCTGGGAGCTGCAGACTGCGTGAGCTCGCACAGCCTCAGGTAAGGGGATTGTGCTGCCAGTGGTGACAGCCTGATCCCGTCTTAAACGCCTGTATTATACTGACAAGATTATAGCACTACACTACACAGTGAGGCCCAGGCAGGCAGGCAGCAGCAGCCACAGCAAAACAGCCCCAGGGCTCATTTATTAACTGTAAATATATTCTCTTTGACTTCAAGCATACATGTCAATGGATGCTGATCGTCTCAGACCGGATGATAAAATCACATCTGGATCATGTACAGATTATTCAATCCACCTTCAAGTGCCGTTTGGCATCACAGAAGTTAAGGTGGAATAAGACCTGATATATTTGAAACAGGACATGGAGATAATGAAAGTCAACAGGAGATAAGCCCCCCTCCTCCCCTCCCCCCCTCCCCCCGATGGTGAACTGATGGCGCTGTACATCACATCATGACACATAGCTGCTGGAGTCATGATGAAAGAAGTTTGCTAATTCATTATGAGCTTCACATGCAGGGTTTAAATTCAGGTTAAAAGTGTCATTGTTGGGGCACTGGTGGCCCAGTGGTTAGTGCGCGCGCCCCATGTGTGGAGGCTGTGGTCCTTCAAGCGGGCGGCCCAAGTTTAAATCTGTCTCCTTTCCCGCATGTCATACCTCTCTCTCTCTCTCTCTCGCTCTCTCTCTCCCTGATTTCCAGCTCTATCCATAATAAAACAGAATCTACAGGAAGTGTTATTGTTTCCAGAACAAGTATTTCTTTGTGGAGTTGAGGGGAAACTTTGAGTACTCAGGCAGAAGGAGGACAAAGAGATAATGCTGTAAGTCGCACCATTTGCACGTCTACTTATTTTATCACAGTGTGTCATTTTTCTAAAGGGATAAGATAAATCCAGGACTTTTTACTCTAACTACAGTAAGTATGGCAGCCGCCCTCACAAAGACTGTTTTCCAACATGCACACGGTTTGGTCTGTGCGTCCTCCATCACTCAGTCTGTGTGAGGAGTTTAACGATTCGCTGAGGATTGTGGGTAAGAATAGCCAATCAGTCACACACCCACTCCTCATGTGTTACTGGAGGATTCCTCTAGAGGGAGCACCACATGAATCAGAAGTAGAGATGATCTGTCTCCAGCTGTTTTGGAATGCATGTTTGTTGCTATGCAACGGCAATAACACATCATCGTGCGGGTAGATGTGGACTTGATCTGTAAACTTTTCTCCAGAACTTTCACATTGATGTAGCGTCTCTCTGGTGTCTCTGATGATGTCATTTCCAGTCTCTTGACTGTACAACTCTACACTGCTCCTAGTGGTTATGTTCATATTGCATGATGTGGACGCGTGCTGTTAATTTTCTGAGGACGTGCACAACAAACGCTCCACACCAGCTCAGGATACGCAGGGATGATGTCATGTGTTCGCATACTCACAGTTACAAGCAAGCATACTCAAGGCTTTTGCCCGGTCGTCATGACTACGGTCAACTCGGGGGTCGTTTTCAAGGGGTGTGGGGAGAGTAGCAGAGAGAATAACTCCCATGATTCCCCACCAGACTCGATGTCATCTTTTGATTGAGAGCCCCCTGGTGGCTGAATTTACGTACTGCACCTTTACATTTTTAATATTTTGATTCAGTGATGACGCCGTTACCGGATGGCTTTTTAAAGTTACATTTTTTATTAAAATCACAACTGATGGTTTTACAAGCTGAGCTGCTGGTAACGCTGCCTTCATCCCAGAAGAGAAATGCTAACCTATTGTTCAAAAATCTACTTTTTTTCCTCCAGTAAAATGTTTACCAGAAGCAGCTCACAAAGTATGTTTGTAAAAGTGGTGTTGGAGGGTCGGTGGAGGGGGGGCAACTCTTCATTAAAACTCATCAGACTGAGAGTCGTGTTTCTCACATGTTTGGAGAGATACCTGTTCCCCTTTCATCACAGGTCGATATCGGCTGCCAATTTCTGACAGCACGATTCGTTTTTCATGAGCTGACGCTTCAGCAATGCAGCCGAAAAAGTAAGCAGCAAAGTTGTGCTTACCTTTTGTAAACGAGCCCCCTGGCCTCTCATCACACTCAGCCAGAGGCTAACGTTACTGCAAGGCCTCAGCATTTCAATATTAACTGAGCCACAGGAAGAGGAGGGGGAGGGGGGGGGCTCAGCCTGACGCCTCACTACTTTGATGCACTGTTTATATGAGCTAATGCAGTTCTGACTAAAGGTATGGGGGGGAGCTGAAGCAGGGGCAGAGACACAGACAGTCAGTACCTGCTGAAGTGGAGATGAGGAACACGACAGAGAGTTGAAAAAAAGGGGGGGGGGGGGGTGGTGTTGGTGCTAGACTCACCTCAGGGACATTTCTCTTGAACTCCCTGCTCAGCTCGACCAGATGCTTGTGGGAATGTTCACTCTCCTCTTGTCGACCAGCCAGCTCAGATGCCACAGAGTTTAGCTCCCTCTACAAACACACGAGAGAGAGAGAGACGGTGAGAGGAGGACGAGCAGGGAGAGAGACGGCACTTTAGCGAGGCTGCCAACGCTCATCCAGTAAAGCTTAAGAGTGTACATAAATAAAAATACACTGCTGAATATTAACAATGTAATCCTTCATGATCTCACAGCAGGAATACTTACAGCTAGCCCTGGCCCATAAATAATTAAGCCAAAATAAATCCAATGGCTACAGTAGCAGAAGGCCTTTTAGATAATCAGTATTTGAAATAATCAATATGCTTGCAACGGCTATAGAGCGCCAGTGAGGGAGTAAAGGCGAGATAGAAGGGGAGAGAGAGAGAGAGAGAGAGAGAGAGAGAGAGAGAGAGAGAGTCGAGGGGGGGGGGGGATCACGTGTAAAGACCCAATAACCTGACAAACACCCTTGCAAACAAACAGAGCTTCTTCCTGAAATGAAAGGCTGATTTTTAAGCCCGGCCAAGACCTGATTCAAACATACAAACGCTCCGCTTGCTGTCGTAATTACCGCAGGTCAGATCTATTTTCAGCCTCTTTTCAATCTCTCTCCCATCGCCTGCACCCAATCTTTACACCGATCCTGCACAGATTTTCAATACATGACAGCAAGCCGCCATAGCTTTAACCAAATCATCCCCCTTTTTCTGCTACAGCAACATCCCCTGATCACTGCTCCATTAACATCTTTACACCGAGATATGAAATAAGAGCTCCACCCTGCTACATGTCTGATCCACTATTCAAAGCTGTCTGTGCAGCAGGCCCTTCATCAGAACCATGCATTCATGCTGGACTCAGCTGCACCACATGCCATCCACAAATCCAATATTATCGATCAGTCATCCAATTCCCGGCTCTTTCAGCAAACAGGGAAGGAAAAAAAAAAAGAAAGGAAAACAGATTCAAACACTGCTCTCCTGCACCGAGCAGACAAACTGTACATTCACCTCGCCTTCAGCTTTGACTGCCGCTCTCAGTAATTGATGAGCTTCTTCTTTTTGTAACTGCTGGCTTACAATAAAAAAAAAAAGTGGAGTAGGGGGATTCAATTACCACTGTGAATTTATATATGACGCCGGGAAATTAAATTGACTGTGTTTTAATTAATCTGCAGTCTTACTTAAAGGCAATTTAATAAATCATCGCAGGAGGAGGAGGAAGAAGAAAAAGAAATTGGAAGGGTGAAACTTTAACAGTGACAGCCTCGTGGGAAGGTGGCAGCCTGTCGGTCAGAGGAGTCGGCTGTTAATTGAAGGGCTGCCGGTTCAAGTCTGTGGATGTTTTTCAGTTAGGAGTTGCTAAAGTAGCACTCAAAGTACATTCTTTGTTGTTGAGAGGTCGGCACTATATGTCTGCATTTATGTTAAAAACGACGATGAAAAGGGGGAAACCAAAGAGAGAGAGGTAGAATTTCTCTAACGCTCATGATCTTCAACGGCTTTGATAGGAACGACAAGTTGACCACCAATTTAAAGCAGTAGCTGACAAGGACTGTATATACACTCATTTGAAAAAATCAGTGAGATGTGTAGAGAGTGAAATGATAAAGGTATCTTACTATCTGATCAGACATTAAGGAAACATGCTATGTTGAAGTGCTGGCTTCTCTGACAACAATGCAGCAGCCAGTATGTCCTCCTTCTAACTTTAGATTCTGGTCCTGAATGCTCTGGATTTGTTTGAACCAGAGAAGGTAGGCGCTTTTAAGACACGCCCCAAAGTTTGGTTTATTTAGCAAAACATTTTAGCTCCTCATCTTTGAAAAAGCCATCTTTTAAATAAAAACATGTATTCAACTTCTTCTTTTACACAGGAACCAAACGGTCATCTCCTTTTACTGCTGGGTTTAAACAGCTGCTGGGCAGAGAGGCCTGCAAACTGTGAGGGATTCATTCAGCCAATCACAGCGCGGCGGAATTATGGTAAATAGACTTGTTTATGTCTGTTCTAGTCTTCTGACTCCTCAAAGCTCTTTTACATGGCAGATCAAACCCCCGACCTTCAGGTTGAGGGACGACCGACTCCACTGAGCTACAGCCGCCCCCTTTTAACCCGGTACAGTACTGGACTCTGTAAAATCAGGCCCGCTGCAGGATAACACTCCCAAACGAAGACATGATGTCAAAATGCTTTGAGAGGCTTTTGCACAGAAGGAACAAGTTGTTTTGTTTCTACAGTGAGAAACATGAACTGACTGTCTTAAGTGAGCGTCTCCTCAGGAGGTGTAGCACGTTGTTTACTCATTACAGGGTTAAAGGGTTAAAGTTTAATCCTTATTCTTTGTAAAACACTGCAAAATGTTTGAAGCACTTTTCCAGTCGCTGATCATAGAGTCTGATTAAGAAGTTGCATTTCTCTTTTTGTATTTCACACAGCTGACAAAAACAAACTACTCTCTGTTGTCATAAATGCTATGGATCCATCGTGTTGGTCGTGGTCTGGGAATATTTCCCTCCTGGTTAATCACCGCGGCTGTAAAAAGGATAAGAAGGCAGAACTTGATAAATTCCTGTTAGCTCCTCACGGTCCATCTGGGATGAGCCTTCCCACAGATTAGAGAGTGGGCTTTCAGAAGCCGGCCGACCTCTCCTCCATTCAGACGGCCTCAGACCGGCTAATCTCGCAGAGAGAGAAAATTCCTGGAGAAGTGACTTTGAGTGGATTTTATAAGTACTTAAGATATAACAGTCGCCTTGGCGCTCACTTTTTACTGCAGCTCTCTCTGATGAGAACGGAGAACACTCCTTGCTTGTATGCAAGCCAAACGGTGCTCTCATAATGACAGAGTTATTTTGAAAGCACCCCTACAGTTTGTCAGACCATTAAAGAGGAGGGGAGCCAGGGCAACAGCCCATCAAATGAAACCTACTGTCTGTCTCCCTGGAAGGAAGCGGAGCAGAACACACTGTTTGTTACTTTGCTTGTCTAGCTCAGATGGATGTCAAGTTTCTCAGGAGACTAAAAGATACTACAGAAGATTTCTTCTCTGCTTCCTATACTCAGATGTTAGCTTCCTGGAAGAAATCACTTATCTGCGTCCGATATGTTGTTGAATCATTTTCACAAACATGAAGATGTTCCTCATGTCTATGACCACTCCTCCAAATGTGCAGAGACAGGTTTTTTTTTGGTTTTTTTTTTTTGGGGGGGGGGGGAGAGAAGGGAAGGGGGGGTTAATCATTCGACAGTTTTTAAAAAGATTATCGGGACTGAATTTTCAGAGTGTGGCAGCTGGATCGATACACAGCTCCTGTCATTAAGCCTCTGCCAGTCAAACATCCAGTCATAATTGATGAGTTTCCCCTGAGGAGGTTGGACCTGTCACCGGGGCAGGAGGGACAAAAAAAAAAAAAAGATCAACTTTGGCGCATGGCAACAGTCCTGGGTGTGCTCGAGGCACTTTGTGAGCCACCATGGCGACTTGTGACTAAAACATAAAAAGACAACTGAACGAGAAGTTTGATGGATGTGGGAGGACAGAGCAGACAGAGATGTACCGCAGTTACACCGTGACTCACATGTATACTCTGCCACTGGCCTAACGTGGACCCTACCAGCGTCAGGGGGCGCCCTCACATGATCTGACAGGCGGCCACACTGCATCGACAGCTCTCAGGTTTATATGAGTGTGAGGCAGGAAGGACCTCAGACTTTACCGGGTGAGGCTTAGAAAACTGGAGGAAGAAACTGGAAGATGAATGAATATAAAGATGAAATGTCAAACAGGTTTTTGTGTTTAAATGATGGGAAGCGAGTGACGCTCACTGAATCATCAGCAGCAGAAAGAAAGTCAAACAATCAAAGCAACAAAAACCAGCTCTGGACTGAAATCAGAGCGGAGGAACGTTTTGTAACAATCGCTCCATGAGCCAATGTTTCAGCTCCAACGCAGAGCTCACTTATGTTTTTGTGCAGGAGAAGATTCTGACATTGATTCATTAAAGAACGGCTCGTCTTGATTACATCTGTAGTGGTAAGCTATTTTCTGGCCTTTCACAAAGACAACCCATAGAGGGAAAATGTTGACAACCGGGGGGAAGAAAAAAAACGACCAAGGTACTGCAATGAGGTAGACGGAGTCAAAATCACTATTGTGTGCAGCGGGCTTGGACAGCACAAATTAAAGAGGAGAAAATAAGGAGGAGGAGGAGGAGAGAGAGAGAGGGGGGGGAAATGCAGATGGGGGTATTATTATTCTTTTTGTATCCCATCTAATTGCAATCATAGGCAGATGTCTGAAAGTGTGACAGCATCAGCAGAATTGCTGCTGAGAGCACAGAATCTTTGTCTAAAAATAATCAGACATTCTGTGTGCTGCTGTTTGTTATAATGGTAATCGATGCTGGAGGCTTTGAATTCCATCAATTTATAGATCCACTCTGTTCTGCCTGGTGACTGTACTGCCTCACAACCCCCCATCCTATACGCACACCAACGCACAAAACACATACACACACTCGCACGCAAGGTCTCACACAGCAGTACACACACGCACTGTGTAGACGCTTTAATCCACACATGGCGACTGCAGAAAGGCAGGACCAGTGTGATTAAGATAAGTGTAGTTTCCTTTCATACATTCCTTGTCGCCTCCCCTTTTTTCTGTGTGTGTCGTGCAAGATTGTCCAGCGCTAGCCTCAGATTAGCCCCACCGCTTCTCAGACGCCACATTTGAGAAGGAGGACTGATCAATAAATCAAATCACCACAATCAATGGCCCCAATCACTGCAGTCTAGTCTGGCTTCAACATTATTACTGGCAATCCCTTCAGCCAATCAGGGAGGAGGTGGGGAGTTGGGGGGGAAGATGAAAGATCCAACATGAACTCTTATCTGGCCTTCTCGGGTGTGTGTGTGTGTGTGTGTGTGTGTGTGTGTGTGTGTGTGTGTGTGTGTGTGTGTGTGTGTGTGTGTGTGTGTGTGTGTGTGTGTGTGTGTGTGTGTTTTGTCCAGACGGAAATCAGGGCAGAAGGAGCTTCTGACCTC